CTATCCCTGAATCCTGTTGCAACAAGGAAACAAGGACCAGTGAGTTTCCATTTTAGAACGACCTGTGATGATTAGGCTAGTTCTTGAGCTCAAGAGAGTATGCTCTTTGTGAATCAAATTAGTTCAATACCTGAGCAATATGGTAATGATTAGGCTAGTCCTTGAGCTTCACAAAAGACTTATCAGGGAACTAATGTAGGTTGAAGATCATTAGTAATGCCAACTTACTCTTGAAGGGTGTCAAAAGGGTTGCAGGTGGGAATGTCTAGTTGGGAAATAGTTAGGAAGGGATTAGGTGGTCACAAGTCACGAGTCACGACTCACTTACGTTAGGGTTTGAATGGTTTCACCCGACCTTGTTATTTTTGTTGGGTTTTTCCAACCCATGATGAGTTGTCCCAAGTCTATTAGAAATTATAGACTTAGAGGATTTAGTTGTTTTCCCAAACAATTTGAGTTGGTTTTCCAATTAGAAGTTTTTCCCCAATTGAAGTTGTTTACCTAATTGAAGAAGACCTTCTATATAAGGGGGGCTATTGTACTAGTTTCGAATGGGAGCAAAACAATATTTTGTATACCACTCAAGGGATTAGAGTGAGAGAATATTGTCAGGGAAAAGTGTGTGTGGGAGAAAAGAAAAGAGATAAAGAGTGTATTTCTTGTTCTTTTTCTTTCAAGTTTATCGCCAAGTACTTAATTTTAGAGACTTGGCAAGATTATTGGTTGTACTCATTATTGGTGTAGTGAAAGATTGTTGATGCTGTCCCGTGGACTTAGGCACATATAGCCGAACCACGTTAATTCTTGGTGTATTTATCTTGGTTATTTTGTTTTCGATTTCTCGAGTTTGTTCTACTTTTCCCATTCTTAAACGCAATATTCACAACAATTTTCATCCTTGATTTGTATTAAGAATAAGATACCCAATATGTCAATTGATAGTGTCATATTAGCATACACTTTCAGCTAATAAAATCTTAGCAGGGTTACTGATATGAAATTTCTTTTCCCTTCATCCTTGTAACAGTGTTGATTTTTTGTGTTTCTCACCACACTTCTTCCTTCTTTTTTATTTTATTTTTGTTCTTCTTCTCTTCTATCTTTTTGTACCATATAAAGAGGTTCTTTTATGGATGTATATTATTAACATTATTTATGGAACCATGCAGGGTTCATGGATTGTCCGCCAGAGTGTTGGAAGCACTCCTTGTTTGTTGGGAAAAGCTGTTGATTGCAACTATATCCGTGGTCCTAAGTACTTAGAAGTAATATAATCTTGCCAGATATTTTTTGCATTTTTATTAACTTATTGGGTCTTGTGGTTGGCAAGGTTCTTTTAAGTATAAATACGTAATTTGGTTTATTATTCTGCAGATTGATGTGGATATTGGTTCATCTACTGTTGCTAATGGGGTTTTGGGGCTGGTAATTGGCGTAATTACCTCATTGGTGGTTGACATGGCTTTCCTTGTACAGGTATGCTTCTCGTAAAATATTTTATCATAGACCATGGAATACTGTACTGTTCATCAAAGGCATGTTCAGCAATACATTTGAACTAGTGAATGAGTGATCGATTGAATAATAAATGAGGCCTAGCCCCTAGTTTATGTAGTTCAGATTGAAATAATAGTAGTTTAGGCAATTAATATTATTGAATAATTTTTCAGCGTCAAATATAACTTGGGTTGGTAGATCTGGTTCAGATATGTCCTGGCAGTATGCATGCAATTAATTATGGGGGTTTTAGATTTATTCTAGCGCTTAAATATAAATTACTTTTTCTTTTTTTCTTTCAGTTGGGTTTGGTACCTCTTGCAACGATTTGTTTGCTAATTTCTTTTAGCTCGCTATTAACTTTTGAGAATGTTGCTAGCTTTTAAAGTTTCAAAGCTTCAGATAGTACTTATTGCATTTTCTGGGAATCGAAATTGCATATATGCTATTCTATAACTCAGAAACTCGCATTTATCAGGAGCCCCAACTAAAGTTTATAGTTCCTGTAGTTTTAATTTCTGGAAACTAAGGAATATAATCTGTTAAAATCTGTCAAAACCGTTCTGACAAATCTATTAAATGTCTGGATGGAAGGATAACGTGCGTAGCATGTGTACACATGGTTTCCAGACTACCCAAAATGTGTATTTTCTCTTTGCACGTTTGTAAGTTCATATATTCATCCTCCCATTTGATTGATTTAACGGATTGAAGTTGATTACAAGTTCAAGCAAACGAAACTGCATTCTTTTAATTGCTAAACTTGAGAGTACATGGACTGAAATGGATATCTAGCGAAACTACAGATACAATAAATGTCATTTACCCCTAGCTCAACCTACCTATGTCAGACTTTGATTAAATTGAATCATAAAATAGATGTAATTTGTTGGAACATGTCTCGAATATGATATAATTTGCAAGACTCTGAAGATTACAGTAAAATTTTTACCAGTTTCTGTTTGTGTTTGTTACCAATAACATAATGATCCACGTTTATTGTCACGTGTTGGGTATCCTGTGTTGCCTTTGATAAGGTCTCATTTCTGGCAATGGGCACTTAAAAGGTAGAAAGGCCAGTTTCGCCTAGTTTTTCTTGTTTATGAGTATTCGCACAGGCCATGTCAGCCTCATTTTAAACGATTCCAATGGATTTTATCTCTCTGCGATGCTTAGTTTATCACTAAGACACTAGCTTCTCGCTATTTCATTGCTTGATTTAATGCTTGCAAGCTCACGTTAGCAAAATATTATGTTGTATACTGACTATGAACTGGTTACCTGCAGGCAAACAGTACAGATGAATTGCCAGAGAGGCTAATTGGTGCCGTTCGTGTTTCTCATATAGATCTCAAATCCGCCATTGTACCAAAGCTGGAACCGGATCCATCATGACCGACAGACAGACAAATTAACCGCTCAGTTCTTCCATACAAAATCATTTGTTCATCAGATACGCATATAATGCCTCCTGATTTCATTGCCATATCTCACTTCAGGAATGGTCATCTGATTCAAGTGCAATTTTTTTTGCATAAAATTGTGACAAGAGTTTTATAATACGTACAGAACAAGGTAAGCGTTTTTGTTTCTGTTTCGAGCCTTTCAGGACTGTTGCGTATTTTGTCGTGAGTTTTAGGTGGTGTTTGAGTGATTGGTATTGGTAAAACCTGGTTTTATGGCGGGTACCCATCTTAGTACGCCTTTGTGAGACGTTATACAAAATGGGGACCGCATAGAGCCCTTTTTTCGTGTTCTAACACGTATGGCTTGACATAACGATTGACATAGCTACTTATGGTGTTAACCGTTGACATAGCCACTTATGGTGTTAACCGTTGACATAGCCACTTATGGTGTTATGCATCGAAGATATGCGACTTCTTGACTAGCTTTGTTGCAAGTTTAAACAGACGAAAGGATCCTGGTGAATGAATTTGAGGTACATTGATGCCAAAAATTCAGTAAGAGAACACAATTGGGGCAACCTAACCAGAGACGATCTGCTTATTTGGCAAATTTTACTCATTCCCCGGACCGCCGTTGAAAGAGTTTGGTTTTTGCTAGAAAATCTTAAGTCTGGCCTAACATTTGGCATTTCTCATCCATGCTCTTTTATTTTACTCCAACCATGAACACCAGTTTGGGGAGACTTTTTAGTGTGTCAGGAACATAGTCAGGTACCGTAAGTGTTAAGACACTGATCGACCATTTTAAGGTAAATGTTGTCTTTAGCATGGTTATCTTAGATCATGAAAAGGTTTCACTTTAAAAAATGGCACATGATCTCTAAATCTCAGGACCTGCCCTTCATCAGTTTCATGGTAGTAAATGAAGATTTACACTATGTTTGGATGAGGAAAATAAACTTGGAATTCGGATAAAAGTCAGAATTTATAAATTGATATGCACCAATTCCCTTGTTTGGATTAATAACATAGAAATTTAGAATTTTCGCATGAAAAAAAAACTTGGAATTTGGGATCTCTAATTTCCAAGCTTAAATTCCATGTAAATAGGTGTCATTTCCTAATTTCTATGATTGGGAGTTTAAAATTAACAAATTCCGTTTTCAATTTCATTGTTCTTTTAAGTTAACCAAACAACAAAATTCACAAATTCTAGAAAATAAAATCCCTTTATTTTAGTTTCCGTCATTTTAAAATTCCTTAGTAATCTTAAATTTCTTCATCCAAACATAGTGTTAGGAAATTGGAATTTGGTCCGTTATTAGATTGTCAATATTGTGTCACAGCGCCATTTGTAAAGCAATATTGCCGACTGAGTGATATGATTATTTTTTTGCACGATCTGTGAATTTGACTGGTAAATCCAAAGTTTAAGATCAACCCGTTAACTAGTGAAATCTTTATCAGGTTGCCTGTTAAAATACCGGTATAACACGAAAATAACATGAACATGACAATCACGACCAGTTTGCGGTGTCTAGTCACCACCACTACCCTTATCTTTCATATTTGGGCCTTGTTAAAATAAGAACTTTGGAAAGATGATGAATAAGAAGACTTCAAGTAATTCATAAAAATATGTGTCCTGGACAGTTTGGTTTATTTATTGCTTAATTGTAGAGTGTTTGGTGCCAAATAAAATACGTTCCAACAATAAAAAGACCATGAAATGAATTAAGGCACAACTAGTTCAAATTTTCTTCTTTCTTTAAATGTTTTTTATAAGACATTTCTTCATCTTGCATGTGAAGATATTTCTTTATATGTACTATCTCTAACAGAGATAGAGCCCGCCAACACATGCAGATCTCATCTCTATTAGAAAGATGGTACAACGTGCTATGAAAAATGTGGTATTACCAATTTTGTTTTATTTTATACAAATCCCTTTTTACATGAGGATCTTATAGATAGTTGTCGCATGCGTGTTGAGGGTAGTTCACTGGGCATGTGGTGTTGAGTGAAGTAGGAAATGGGATTGGTGTATCCACTTCCTTCAATGGAATGCTTCAACATGTAATAAATACTCGGTGATTTCAAGGTTGATCATATCTGATGTAAACAAACACATAACATTCCAAATTGTAGTAAAAAGTGTGACATGTGTAGTAAAATTACACACATCATTATACATTGATCATTGATACACTGAAGAAAAGTGAAAAATCAAACAAACTATCAAACAAGAAAAAAGCTGATCACAAAGAAGCAGCTTTTGGCTTTTGGGCAACAAAATCTCTAAAAGCATCCAAAGCAGCAACCGAACTTGTTGGAAATCCATGCTCAAATTTCTCACTCAGCTCCAAAGCTCGTCGTTTCATGTCCTTCGTCACTCATCAGCATCTCGATTCCCTTCACTATATCTTCCTTCTTAATTAATATTTTCTCGTCAGGAGGAATAGGGATATGATACCCTACTTTCAGAAAGCTCGCCACCAAATTTGGCATCATGGTGTTGGATCCCCTCTGATTGGCCACGCTAGGATCGGGACCCCACGCCCGATTGCCTCCACTGTTGAATTCCATCCACAGTGTGATAAAAATCCACCCGTTGATGGATGGCTTAGGATCAGCAGCTGTGGGGCCCATCCGTGTATTATCAAACCTCTTTTCCCCACTCGAGCCTCCATTCCGTGTGGATAGTATCCTTCTTCGCCTTCCGAACCGGCCCCGAGAGACCTTGCGGTCTGTCTGAACCGCCCCGCGGAGGACCCGGCGGTCTACCCGAACCGGATTGGACCACCCATATGAAGGGCTGGGTGGATGATATCCAATGCCTCTGCCGGTACTTTGTACTCCTCCACTGTAGGTGCTACCGTGCTGCCAAATGACACATAGAGTACTGATCCGGACGACTTCGAGTCTAGCCACTCGACCACCTCGTCTTCGGTGATGTTTGACCGTCGGGTGCTGTTTCGGAACTCGCGGTCGTGGAGAATTGAACCGGCCGATTTCCAGTATTGTTCGGGCAAAAGCGGGCCAACTCCCCAGACCGGTTTTCCAATTTGATCCGCAATGTACTTAAGGAATGGACGCTCCAGATCATCACACGTATTGATCATCAACGCAATAGATCGGTCAGCATCTTCTGTCCACGGGGTTTACCTCCTGGCTGCGGATGGCCCCTTCTTCCCGGGCCAGGTCCATTAAGAGGCGGGTCGGGTGGAGGCATACCGTGCCCCGATCCAAATGGAGGAAAACCAACTGCATCTTGGCCCGGCAGAGGCATACCTGCATTTGGGCCAAATGGAGGAAAGCCACCTACACCTTGGCTCGGTGGCGGAGGAAAACCTGCTCCTGGCCCTGTTTGTGAGCCGCCACCATGACCGGGTGGCGGAGGAAAACCTGTGCCTGGCCCTGTTGGTGGGCCGCCACCATGACCGTGTGGCGGTGGTCCGCGAGACTGTCGTTTAACATCAGATAGAGTGAGAGCCATTTCCTCGGGTAACCCGGGGAGCAAACGGGTCTCGTCGGATTTGATATCCAAGGGCCGAGCCTTCCACATGGCATACTCCATGGCGGCAGAGCAAGCACCAGAGGTGAAGAAAGCTACGGTTGGAATTTCAAATTTCTTAAAAACTTCGGCAGTCCAGCCCATCATGACGTCAAGCACGGCACATACGGGCAGCGCAGAATCCGAACTCTGGCATCGGGTCGAAAGGAGTTTCTCAAGACCGTTAGCTATCTGGTTGTCCTGATCGTGGTGGCGGTGGAGTGGCTGAGGAGTTGGCTGAGGCGGCGTTGATGGATCAGACGATGGGCTCGATTCGGGGATTTCGGCGATTTGGACAAGCGGGTGCTGGCGGAGGGAAGAGGGGATGGAAGAGGAGAAGTTGGAAGAAATAACGAAAACGGATTTGAAGTCTCGGGAGGCTATTTGTTTGCAGAGCTCCACTAGCGGGAAGAGATGTCCCTGCCCAAAAAATGGAACGATCCATATCTCATTCGCCATCTTTTGAATGTTTGTGTTTTGAATTCGTAAGATCGTTGGGGATTTTATAGGGAAGAATTAACAAAGAATCAGAAGAAAGCTTCTGTTTTTTTTTTCGGTCAACGATCAGATGAAAGCTTAGCTGCGAAGGAATGGTTTGGATTTTGAAAGGGAGAGAGACGAGAAGTAGGCTAACCGCTACGATGCATGGACAGATACACGAGATACGACATCAGAATAAATTAAATTTTTAAAATTAAATTACACTAAAAATGTGGGATAAATCTCAAAAGTAGTCATAATAATATGATTGATATTCGTTTTTAATGAGAATCGAATCTAAGACCTCATATTTACCAGTGATGACTTGCTCAGAAACAAGACCGTAGCCCTAGCTGCCTTGTACCTATCAGCCTTCTTCCACCAGATCCAGTCAAAGGCCATGACGGGGATATCCGCAAACCATCGGATTCCCGTATTTAAACTGTCAAATACTTGTATTCATCTTTTAAATGCCGTATTGTCAATCTAGTTGCATATTCAATACGTAACTGACCGTATTAAAACGTACTGTATCTATTCATGTATTTGATACGCAATACGTGACAGAACCGCCGTATCCGTGCATAGTAGGGAGTAGGGTTTGACTGTTAGGTTTGTTTAAACAGTTAAGAATGAAACTTGTAAAGCATGCAAGTTTTGGTCGACAAGGTGATGTAATGCTCTGAAACTTTGACACCTTGAAATCAAGAGTCATATTTTTTTTGTGACGGTGTCATTCACTTATTAATTAAGTTTTTAAAGGAGAGAAACCGAGTCAACCGACCACTGAGATTAGGTCGGTAACAACGATGACGAATGAATGTAAATTTTCTTCATGAACGCGTATTGTAAATGGAGTTGACCGTAAGGTGAAAAGGTTCATAGTCTTCTGACTGTATGGTAAAACTATTATAGTTAAGTAATGTTAATTAGGATTACTGCTTTTGTTGCCTATCATTGAGATGGATGTTCTGCCTTCTTGTACATGTCTTTGATGTATTATTGTATTGTGTCGAGTTCGAAAGCATTTTAAGTCGTACTGGTAAGGTAATGGTATTTGTAAGGGAGCATTGGCGATTGAAGATTGTATTTGAAGATAAAACTTCATGGAGCATTATGTATATCATTCAAAGTTTTAACAAGGAAGTTATGCCGTCATCAGTAGATTTTATATTATGTATTTAATCTTATTCTTAGTATATTTTGGTTATTCTTTTTAAAGAATTTTGATACTTTGAATTGTTCTGCAAGCTTCATCTGGAGCAAAACGTGATCAAATTTGAGTTTTGGATAATTTTTTGGAAGGACGTTCTGAGTCACTTGGCCTTCCATTGTATCAAAATTTGGATTTTTTCTACCAAGCGGTGATTTTCTGAGTTTGGGTAGTAGGGGTTTGATTGACACAGCTTTTCTGAGTTTGGGTAGTAGGGGTTTGATTGACACAATGTTCTTTTGGTCACTAGGTGTCTAAAGAATGAATGGTCTCTTATCCTTGTTAACGTGATGTCAAGGTGAAAAATAATTGGATGTGATTTTAATGTTTTAATCTCAACCTTTGATGTTAAATCCAATGGTTGGTGACCATGAATCCTTGGTCACTAGGTGACTTTGAGAACGGATCTTAATATCAATCCTAGCTTGAACCAAACATAAGATTAATTAAGATCTGGATTAATTAGCATTATGCATTCACTAACATGACTTATGTAAGCCATTTTAAAATGTGGGCCTTAAATGAGGCCGAGCCAAGCCTATCCAAACCAGTTCCTACAGTTAGTTGAAGCCAAGCCTATCCCGTTCAACAAACGGCTTTAAGGTTGTTCGGTATTCAATTTGCACCCCTTTGAGTTTCTGTGAGTTTCTTCTTCCTTAAACTACTAGACAACCTCCTGCATATCTTGTTAGTAATGCATTATACAGATGTACAACATTTATGACACTTTTGACAAGCAATTGTTCTATTAGCCAATTCAATTTTACCAATGTTATATAGATTTCTCGTAGTGACTGAAGATTAAGTTTCTGTACTCCAAAAGGCTACATACAAGACAATGGTATATTCCGGTACGCTCAAGCCGATGGAAGACTATCTAAAGCAACTTCCTTGAGCGATGGCATAGTTCCTTACTTTTTGGAAGACTTCCCATGGACCTGTGTAGCTCCTAAATGTCGCACAACATAAATAACAAAGAAAAAAAGAGGTAAAGAATGGACTCATATCGCAGAGATATTGAAAATGAGGAACTATAGCAAACAACTATTTCTTAATTTGTACTTCACTGAAACAAATTCGGTATCAGTAGCTAGCTAGCAAACCTGAAAAGGATCCCTCCGTGGCGTTCCTTAAAATTGTGAATGTAGTATACAGTCTCCTTAAATGGAATTAGGGGTCTCGGAAAGTGCAGCGATAAGGTCACTAACTAGTGGTTACAAGTTATATGCTTCATGGATTTGATTCCTGTCACTAATTGTTGTGCGGAAGCGGCATTCGACTGTACGTGAATAAGTAAAACAGAACAAAATAAAACCACTATCAACAAGAACACCAAGATTTATATTGGTTCGGCAATGCCTACATCCAGTTTGGAGACGACGGAGTATTCCACTATAATCAATGAGAACATACAATAGTGTTTATCACTCAATTTCCCAAAGACCCGAATAACCCAAGCTCTCACACTTACAATAGGAAGAGAAAAAACCAAAAATACAAAGCAAGACAATTTGAGAAAATTCTTCTCTATGCCGAATGGCTTCTTGCTATTTTTCTCTCTTCCTTGTTGTTCACCTCTCAATCCTTATGGGCTGCACCTTGCTCCCCTTTTATAGCCAAAGAAAAGCTTCTCAAAGACATCAATGGTCAAAGGCCTACCATCAAGTCAAAAGAGTTAGGCACAATTATAGTTTGTCTCTCATTACCACAAAGTAGCCCAAAGAATTGAACTTTGACTACATGTTTGAGTCAATAATCAACACTAATGCTCTACCACTTACTTGAACCTCCAGTTTGATTTATGTAATGCATTCATGGCTTGTGACGGGAAATAATATGAGGGCATTGATCGGTCAAAACCAAACGAAATCCCCGATACTTTGCGGGGATAAATATGTACTCACGCTATTGCTGCGCATCAAGGTTAAGCAAATGAGCAAGTGATTTATATTTGAAGGGTGAATGTGTTAAAACACAAAAGGAAACAAGTTGGAATATTTGCTAGGGATCCTTTTGCGGCGAACAGATTCGTCGAGAAGTTGACTGCAGATAATCTTAAGCAGCGAAGAGTTCCCTCTTGTAAAAGTGTCGATGAGGGATTTTATTATTATTTCGCGCTTCACAGAAAAAGGCTCTTGTCGGAAATATTCCAACTTTTTCTTTGTCGTCCCATTCTCGACGTGGATTTTCAGGTGCGTTAAAAGTCCAATAAAGGCTTATCCTGGTGCATATGGGTTTAGGAATTGCTACTTATTAAAGGATATTGAATTAGGGTCTAGCTAGGAATCCTTGGTAGAGAAGGGTGTGCAAACCTCTATATAAACAGATACCCTGCACATATGCCAGAACACACCACAACGTACTCTCTTGAGTTTTATCATGGCCTGTGAGAGGACATTTAACTCTCTCGCTCTCTCTCTTTCTCTCTCTTTCTCTCTCTCTCTCTCTCTCTCTCTCTCTCTCTCTCTCTCTCTCTGTGCAGCTCTTTCGCCCTTGAGGAAAAACCAAACAAAACTGAGCAATGGCAGTCACATTCTTTGGCCTCAACTCGGCTGCTGGCCTGAAAAAACTGGATGACTACTTGCTTGATCGCAGTTACATCACTGGCTCTCAGGCTTCCAAGGATGATCTCACTGTGCATGCAGCTCTTTCTAAGCCACCATCTCCGGAATTTGTGAATGTGTCTAGGTGGTACAACCACATCGCTGCTCTTTTTTTCTGCTGTTTTTGGAGAAGGATCTGGTGTCATTATCGAGACCGGGGACGCAGCTTCTACTTATACTCCTCCTGTAGCTGAAACAAAGGCAGCTGACGATGTTGATCTCTTTGGCGAAGAGTTCGTCGATGTTGATCTCGAAGAGACCAAAGGGGAGAAGAAGGTTGCTGAAGAACGTGTGGCGGCTTTCGTCAAGGCATATACAGAGAAGAAAGAGTATGGAAAGTCATCAGTTCTGTTGGACGTGAAGCCATGGGATGATGAAACTGACATGAAACTGCGTGAGGAGGCTGTAAGAAGTGTCGACATGGAAGGGATGCATTGGGGAACATCCAAACTTGTAGATGTTGGGTACGGGTAAAGAAGTTGCAAATAATGCTTACAATTGTTGACGACCTGGTCTCTGTCGACACTCTTATTGAGGAACATCTTACTGCTGAACCAATAAATGAGCATGTGCAGAGCTGTGATATCGTCGCCTTCAACAAAATATGATTGGAGCTTGCAGATCTTTGGCGAGAGACGATAAATATATGCTGGGATTGAATTAGATTGAATTAGTGTTTATGTTGCTAGGATATTTTGTCTTGTTTGTTCTTGCTGCAAGATTTGAGACATATTATCCTTGGTTTGATCAAAATGTTTACTCGGTTTTATATGTTTACAGTTTCCTTTTAATATGCACGAAAAGAGCAAGTTCTTGTTCTTGTCGACAAGCAATAACTGAAAATCGACTTAATTAATCGCACTGCAGAAACAAAGCGTAAAATTTTCGAACGCAAAAGCTTGATTAGATCGAAACGTTTAAGCATAAGTAGGGTTTTGAGGAAGAAAGAAAAGCTTCCTTGATATCCAAGGTAGTCAACACTACTGTAAAAAAAAAAAAAAAAAAAAATAGAGACTTTGGTTCTATCAACACCACTGGCATCAGATAATGTGGTGGCCACATTGGAATCTTCCCTTGCTTCTTGATTGTTCTCTACGCCATTCGACGGCCGTCATCTGTCGGTGGTGCTGAAAGAGCAACCAAAGTTTTTGCCACCTGGCTTGCTGTTTCTTTATTCGTAAGAAGAATAGGCTGATTAGTGCCACTTTTATATCTTTTTTTCGTATTTGTTGAGCAAAAAATTTATGATAGTTCGGAGTAATATGAGTTTTTTAACTGTTAAATTTTAAATTTTTAAGCGGTTAAAACATTTGAAGTATCCTAAAACACAGATTATAAAGAACACCATAGAA